ACATACATACACATACATACACACATACATAGAGACACACAGACATACACATAAACACAAACACACATACACATGACCCGGCTTCGCCCGGGACTTGGATCCACGATGCCCCGCCGCCTTTGTCTCCCCAGTGACGATGTTCACACACGACAGCAGTTACGCTTTTGAGGCTGAGTGGACCTAGGGGAGGGCCAGGTCCGTTTCAAATAATCGTCTGCGGTGGTGGGCGTGAGTTGGAATCGAACTGGGGTCGCTCAAGCAGCTTAATGACTGTTTGTACAAAGAACATATAAAGAATCGATGATAATAACCAGGCAAGAGTCCACATTATAGACTGCCAGTACACGCACTCAGCTTCATAAGCAGGCTAGAGTGTACATGATAGAGTGGCAGTACGCTCACCGAGCTTAATAAGCAGGCTACAGTGTACATGATAGACTTGCAGTACGCTCACCCAGCTTAATGAGTATTTGTACAGTGAACATTAAAGTAATCGATTGTTGGCGCGTTGGGTTTAAAAGTAATATTAATAGCACACATTGTGGTGGGGGTGTAGTGAAGAGTAGGAAAAACTTTGATGAATTTACCTCAGAGTGGCGTGGTGGGTGTCGAGGCCTAGTAGCGTGCAAAGCCTGCGGCCTCGCCTAAAATTGTCGGCTTGGAAGAGGCAGGGTACGGGTGGCGTTCCTTCCCCCCCCCCTAGCGCTCCAACAATACTGTGTAATGGCTATTATTTAATTAAATACGGAGCTTATGAAAGTGGCGAAGGCGTGGCTAGCCGTTGGCAGGGGCAACCGCCGTCCAATGAAACTGCAGCCCTTGACGAAGGCGTGGCTAGCCGTTGCCAGGTCCAATGAAAGCGGCGAAGGCGTGGCTAGCCGTTGCCAGGGGCAACCGCCGTCCAATGAAAGTGCGTATGGGCCAAAGTCCACACACACACACACAGACAGACAGACATGAACGATTTTATATATATAGATATAAAAGGAAAATTTGTGAATATGTGTGTCTGTTCGAAATGTTTAGCATACTTGCCGACATGCAACCAACTTATATAAAACGGGAATAGGCCGATTCTAAAGGAATCTACAACCTTCGATTCCTTTGCGTGGTTTAAAGAATCGAATCTTGGCACGCTTGGGTTTTATTTATTTTTAATTAATGAGTATTCTTTTTATTTGTATGTTATGTTTTTAAGTTTTCAGAGGTATTAAAATATATTTTTCCTCCGGGCAACGCCGGGTATTTCCCGCGAGTAGCAGTATATATCGCCTCTATAGCACAAAGTACTCACCTGACTGATTGACGTGGTGAGGCCCAGTCGCGTGCAGAGCATCGGCCTCGCCTAGATTTTCCAGCTGGCCAAGGCTGGGGGCTGGACCACTACCCCCCACCCCCACCCCCCCACCCCCCCCCGCGCTACGATAATCCAGTCGAAGCGCTATCATTTTAGTATCTACCGACCCTATAATAGTAAGTGCACACATTGGGGTGGGGGGGATAGAAGAGGACGTGACACCATTGATTAATTTATCTCAGCGTTGCGTGTTATTTTTGTTTGCATTTTGAACGTGAATGAGAAATCCCCCCCACCCTCCAGCGACAGTGTGTGTGCATTGCCAGGGGCAACTCCTGTCAGCGTTTTGCGCATGCGCAATAGCGTGCTTTGTCGCGTGCCGGGCGGCAAAAGTAAATAAATAAAAAGAAATCACGCAAAAACGCGATTTTTAACTACTTTAATGTTGACGGATGGGAAAACGGAATAGCCTTTTCCCACCGTGGGGCTTAGGGCGTGCTGCCCGGCAATTTTTTTCGACGTGAATCCCACCGTCCAAGAGCCAAATCCCTCACAAGCGCACGTACACAGACGGACAGACAGAGGGACAGACAGACAAAGAAAGCCTTTTATAGGTAAGACTAGCGGTAAATACCCGGCCTTGCCTGGGCGAAAAAGGCAGACACACACGTGGACTTACACACACACATCGGCTCACACACACAAATGGACGTGTACAGCAATCCACGATGATGGCACAGCTATCAGCATGGCAGTACTACGTATCAGTAAATAGCGTGACGTGAACAATCGAAGCAATGGAAATGCAAAGAAGAAAGAAGCTGAAATAAGTGTAAATTAAAGAGCAGCAGTATGCACAGGTAAGATGACAAGCAGGCTACAGTCTAGATTATAGACTGCCAGTACGCCGACTCAATGACATTAGCATTGCTACAGTCGATATTAAAAGCTGGCAATACGGGCAGCAGCTTAAAAAGCAGGATACAGTCGACATGAAAGGCTGGCAGTACACTGAGTGAGGTAAAGAAGCAGGCACCAGATTATAGACTGGCATACACTCATAATAGGCAAATGCAAAATGAGCAGTGTAGAGAATAGAGTGGCAGTGCACTGACATTAATTAATGAGCAGGCAGCAGGCCACAGCACAGATTGGCAGTAGACCATCGCAGCGTAAAAAAAAAGACAGCTAAAAAAGGGAATATTTAGCAACGTAATATTGACATGTAATATTTCTGCACACAAACATTATTATAGTAATATTTGGCAACTTATTAGTTTCATAATAGTAAACAATGAAGCTGAGTTCTTATCTGCACACAAATATAATTATTGTAAAATTTGCCAACGTATTTGTTTGATAATAGTAAACAATGAACCTGAGTTCTTATCTGCACACAAACATTATTATTGTAATGTTTGGCAACTAATTTGTTTCATAATAGTAAACAATGAAGCTGAGTTCTTATCTGCACGCAAACATTATCTTTGTAATATGTTTAAACTGATTTGTTTAATAATAGTAAACAATAAACCTGAGTTCTTAGCGAAAAATAAAATAAAATTGTAGTTTACATTGCCTTGGTGAGGCCTAGTCCCATGCAGAGCCCGCAGCCTAACGTAGATTGTCCAGCCGGAGAAGGTGAGACATTGGCAGGCTGAGGGCTGGGCCGCTATCACCCCCCACCATCCCCCTGCCTGAGCTATAAGAATACTACAAAAAGACTATGTAAGCGCTAGAATATCAGCATGTAGTGAGCTGATAGTAGTAAGTGCACACATTGGAGTGGGGGGGGGGGAAGAGGACGTGACACTTTGATGAATTAACCGTCAGGGTTGCGTGTATGGTTTGTTGCATTTTGAACGCGAAGGAGAAGGTTTATTTAAAACAGAAATGAATATGCAAAGGAAAACTATTTTTTAAGGGAAAATTAAGTGTGGGTCACAAGACATCTGGACCACCCTGCACAGTTCTGAATTTAAAAAAAATATCTATTTAAAAAAAACTTTTTTTAAAACACGCTTTTTTCTTTTTTATGATAGAATATAATATTGGCATCAGTATGACATAAAACTTAATTTGGAGCTTTCGTGACAGCAGGAATTATTCTTTGGTTCTTTCGATAAAGTCACGTATAAAGATAAAATAATAAATTAAATTAAATACTAGCATACGACGTTTCGATTGCAACACAAGCAATCATCATCAGGTATAAATTAAATAGAAACACAAATCTAGTATACTTAGAAATGTAATGTAATACAACAGAGAGTTGGATAACATAAGTCAACACCCTGTTATGTTATCCGACTCTGTTGTATTACATTACATTTCTAAGTATACTAGATTTGTGTTTCTATTTAATTTATACCTGATGATGATTGCTTGTGTTGCAATCGAAACGTCGTATGCTAGTATTTAATTTAATTTATTATTTTATCTTTATACGTGACTTTACCGAAAGAACCAAATAATAGTATGACATAAGTATATCAAGTTTGCAGTCGATACAACATTGGGAAGTGTGTAAATTTTGAATTACAAGATTTGAGGATACGACAGACAGTGAGTTAAATAAAAGCGTGTAATAAAAAAATAATAAAAAGCTGCTGATAATGTTCAATTACGTAACGCCATTTCTTTCTGTGGAGGTTAGGTTCCGATTTGTTATTTTTGCGTATGTTGGCAGCAATATGTTCAGACGATAAAATGCCAAGCAGTGAGGGAGGTAAGGGGCCGTCCATAAATGACGTCACGCCATTTTAGACGATCTTTGACCCCCCCCCCCATCGTCACACGGTGTCACGAAAAGTCAGACCCCCCCTCAAATATGACGTCACAAAGCTCTGCCCCCCCCCCCCAAACAAAAAATGCTTCAAATCGCTTTAAACTATTGTCATTGTAGTGCGTATTTAATATGCCGCTGCACTCTGATGTTGTAGGGCAAAACATTTATTAAAAAGTCTATTTAATTAAATAGAACGTGTTGTCTATATTTATTTAAAGTTGCGCATTTTGATGTGACGTCACATTTCTCACCCCCCCCCCTCCCCGTCACACATCGTCACAAATGTCTGCCCCCCCCCCCCCCCCAGGTGCGTGACGTCATTTATGGACGGCCCCTAAGCTGTGGGCACGACGGGAGGGCTTCAGGAGAGAATCATTTGTGTGATTGTATATTTGCTGGTTAATACGTTGTTGTTATATGGGTGAGTAAGTGAACCCATAGGGGTTACCCGTATTATTGTACAGGGCGTACAGCCGTTTAAATACATGCAAAAATAAATATTATTTTTGTGTATTCTAGATTTATTTTTGTCTATTCTAGATATATTTTTGTCTATTCTAGATTTATTTTTGTCTATTCTAGATTTATTTTTGTCTGTTTTTGTTTCTGCCTTGTGATGGAACTTTGTAGGATGAACGTTGAGATTTATAAGGGCACCGGGTGACCAATAATGTCTGAGTTGGTCTATAATAAGGTAGGGCACTGATAGGGGCTTGACATGTATGTTATTATGGATTAATAAAGCAGACAAACAAATGTCTACATTTTTTAAATAACTCATTAAATAAATAATTATTTTAGGTTATCAAATCGATTCCCCGAATCTACTGTTATTATATCTGCGCTTCGATTCCCGTAGGGCTCTGAAGCAGAATCGATGACGCTGCGATTCCTTCACTGAATCGATTCCTCCACCCACCACCACCACCACACACACGAGGTCGTTTTGTGTGGCCCCGCAAAAACCTCGATGCTCAAGTCCAGGACTTTCGTGAAGAAGAACCGCTCCGGCGGGGTCATGAAGGTGGTGAGGGAGCACTACCTGAGGGACGACATCGGCTGTGGCTGGGCCCTTTGCGTCGAGTGCGCGGCCTTAGCCGCCAAGGCCGCGCCGCGGGCCCAGGAGCCGGCGGAGGGAGCAGGCCCCGCCGGGCTGTTGCAGGCCCGGCCCGGGGCGCGCAGCGGCCTCTGTGACGGTGGCGCCCACGTCGTGATCCCGGACAGCAACGTGGTGCTGCACCAGGTGAGGGCGAGGTGGCAGCGGGCGCTAAACGCTCGCCCGTTCACTCACCCGTTCACTTACTCGTTCACTCACCTGTTAATTCACCCGTTCACTCACCCACTCAACGCATAGGGAAGAGTTGATTCACTCGCGCGCCCAACTCATTCACTTAATTCCAACTCGCTGCACTTACTGACTCGTTTACAAACTCGCCACCAACTCGCTCGCTCACCAACGTATTCGCTCAACCACCAAACTCACCCACTCACCCGAATGAGCGACTCGCCAATCAATTAACTCAATCCATTCACAAACTTGCTCCCCAACTGGCTCGCTCACAAACTCACCCCTTCGCTCAGTTCAGTCAACCACCAACTCACTCAAATCACCCAAACCACCAACTCACTCAAACCACCAAATCGCTCAAACCACCAACTCACTCAAACCACCATCTCACTCAAACCACCAACTCACTCAAACCACCATCTCACTCAAACCACCAACTCACTCAAACCACCAATTCACTCAAACCACCAAATCGCTCAAACCACCAACTCACTCAAACCACCATCTCACTCAAACCACCAACTCACTCAAACCACCAAATCGCTCAAACCACCAACTCACTCAAACCACCATCTCACTCAAACCACCATCTCACTCAAACCACCAACTCACTCAAACCACCAACTCACTCAAACCACCAACTCACTCAAACCACCAACTCACTCAAACACCACTCACTCAAACCACCATCTCACTCAACCACCATCTCACTCAAACCACCAACTCACTCAAATCACCATCTCACTCAAACCACCATCTCACTCAAACCACCAACTCACTCAAACCACCAATTCACTCAAACCACCAAATCGCTCAAACCACCAACTCACTCAAACCACCATCTCACTCAAACCACCATCTCACTCAAACCACCAACTCACTCAAACCACCAACTCACTCAAACCACCAACTCACTCAAACCACCAACTCACTCAAACCACCAACTCACTCAAACCACCAACTCACTCAAACCACCAACTCACTCAAACCACCAACTCACTCAAACCACCAACTCACTCAAACCACCAACTCACTCAAACCACCAACTCACTCAAACCACCATCTCACTCAAACCACCATCTCACTCAAACCACCAACTCACTCAAATCACCATCTCACTCAAACCACCATCTCACTCAAACCACCAACTCACTCAAACCACCAATTCACTCAAACCACCAAATCGCTCAAACCACCAACTCACTCAAACCACCATCTCACTCAAACGACCATCTCACTCAAACCACCAACTCACTCAAACCACCAACTCACTCAAACCACCAACTCACTCAAACCACCAACTCACTCAAACCACCAACTCACTCAAACCACCAACTCACTCAAACCACCAACTCACTCAAACCACCAACTCACTCAAACCACCATCTCACTCAAACCACCATCTCACTCAAACCACCAACTCACTCAAATCACCATCTCACTCAAACCACCATCTCACTCAAACCACCAACTCACTCAAACCACCATCTCACTCAAACCACCAACTCACTCAAACCACCATCTCACTCAAACCACCAACTCACTCAAACCACCAACTCACTCAAACCACCAACTCACTCAAACCACCAACTCACTCACACCATCTCACTCAAACCACCATCTCACTCTCAAACCACCAACTCACTCAAACCACCATCTCACTCAAACCACCAACTCACTCAAACCACCAACTCACTCAAACCACCAACTCACTCAAACCACCACTCACTCACACCATCTCACTCAAACCACCAACTCACTCTCAAACCACCAACTCACTCAAACCACCATCTCACTCAAACCACCAACTCACTCAAACCACCAACTCACTCAAACCACCATCTCACTCAAACCACCATCTCACTCAAACCACCAACTCACTCAAACCACCATCTCACTCAAACCACCAACTCACTCAAACCACCATCTCACTCAAACCACCAACTCACTCAAACCACCATCTCACTCAAACCACCATCTCACTCAAACCACCAACTCACTCACACCATCTCACTCAAACCACCATCTCACTCAAACCACCAACTCACTCACACCATCTCACTCAAACCACCATCTCACTCAAACCACCAACTCACTCACACCATCTCACTCAAACCACCATCTCACTCAAACCACCAACTCACTCAAACCACCAACTCACTCAAACCACCATCTCAAGCCACCAACTCATCAAACCACCACTCAAACCACCAACTCACTCAAACCACCAACTCACTCACAAACCACCACCTCACTCAAACCACCAACTCACTCAAACCACCAACTCACTCAAACCACCAACTCACTCAAACCACCAACTCACTCAAACCACCAACTCACTCAAACCACCAACTCACTCAAACCACCATCTCACTCAAACCACCAACTCACTCAAACCACCAACTCACTCAAACCACCATCTCACTCAAACCACCATCTCATTCAAACCACCATCTCACTCAAACCACCAACTCACTCAAACCACCAACTCACTCAAACCACCAACTCACTCTCAAACCACCATCTCACTCAAACCACCAACTCACTCAAACCACCATCTCACTCTAACCACCACTCACTCAAACCACCAACTCACTCAAACCACCAACTCACTCAAACCACCAACTCACTCAAACCACCACTCACTCAAACCACTATCTCACTCAAACCACCAACTCACTCAAACCATCATCTCACTCAAACCACCAACTCACTCAAACCACCATCTCACTCAAACCACCAACTCACTCAAACCACCAACTCACTCAAACCACCATCTTACTCAAACCACCAACTCACTCAAACCACCAAATCACTCAAACCACCATCTCACTCAAACCACCAACTCACTCAAACCACCATCTCAATCAAACCACCAACTCACTCAAACCACCAACTCACTCAAACCACCAAATCACTCAAACCAACATCTCACTCAAACCACCAACTCACTCAAACCACCAGCTCACTCAAACCACCATCTCAATCAAACCACCAACTCACTCAAACCACCAACTCACTCAAACCACCATCTCACTCAAACCACCAACTCACTCAAACCACCATCTCACTCAAACCACCATTTCACTCAAACCACCATCTCACGCACTCACCCGATGAGCGACTCACTCGGCTGAGTGCACTTGCACACTCACCAGGGGTTTACTCATCAGATGTAAAAGGTTGAAGGTTAAGGTCCAGACAGTCCTGAAAATGTCTTGGCTCACGCCACTGCAAGTGGAAGGGACTCCAACTAGAGGGAAGCTCCCTTCTGGTGGATATGTTGTTGAGCCGGACGTTTGGATAATGTGGGAGTAACCCACATTTTACCCCACCACACGAACTGCCGATGGACTACCCATTGACACTGCTGAGTGGACAATGGCAGGGCCTGTAAGGGGGGGATTTAAGAAACGTTTTAATCACCTGCCGCGCTTGGAGGACGAACCGGCGGCATTAGGGTTGCAAGCCCAGTATGATAACCGTCACATTCTGGCAGCATCATTATCTGAATATTTATCCTGGATCAATCCGATGAGCTATAAAGCTCTTTTTCACAGATGTCCAGCACTACTTAATTCATCATTTGGATGAGGGGTTCCTGAACCAGGTGAGAGACAGATTTTTCCTCCTCTACCAGGTGAGGTCGGGCAATTTTACTTCTCACTTCACCTACCTCACCTCAACAGGTAAGGTAGGAAAATCATTGCTCCTGAACTCGGTGAGAGCCCAACCAGGTGTGACCTGTGGTGCATAAGGGGACCACACCAATGATAAAAAAAATACTAAACTATTTTTATTTATTTACCAAGGCTACATCTATAAAAGCAGCCACTATGCCTGACCAGTGTTACTCATTTCCACTGTTACCTATTATTATGTTCAGTGTGCGGAACCACCACAATGTGATATACCCCTGCTACAACTTTATCACCTTAGTTCTCATCTGATCTCCGATGCTAAGCAGAGTTAAGCCTGGGCTTGCCCCGAGCTACAGACGTGTGACTGTCAGGTGACCAGGGGATGGCAGTGCTGAGTGTTATCTTCAACTGCAAGCCGAATGTGACGAGTTGTCGACTGACAGGCAAAGCGGTACCAGCTCAGTGCTCAGACCTCTTGAGACACACACCCACATTACGACCATATGATATAATAATGTTTAGTTTTAGGTGGAGCGACGTTCATGCAAATTGCATGAACAATATCACTGCAGCCAAGCGGTAAGCCAGCACCAACAATTGCCCAAGCTCTATATACCAATATATATCGGCCAATTTATGCGTGTTTATTCATGTGGGGGGGGGCAACACTTTATCCCATACAGAAGGGACAGATAATATTAGTCCACATTTTGCTCTACTGCCATCTGGCATAACTAGGGTATGGCACTTCCTGCATGCTCACGAGAAGGAAGTTTCGCAACATTTGTGTGATCCACGAACCCTCGCCTCAACGGTGCTGGATTACAGGCGTGCACCACCGCCGCCCGGCTAATGAATGCGCCCCTCGTGTGTACGTTTGCGTGTGTGCCTGCTTCTCAGATTGACCTGCTGGAGGACCCGTGCCTGCTTAACGTGGTGATTCTGCAGACCGTGTTGCAGGAGATCCGCCATCGTTCCGCTCCCGTCTACAAGAGACTCCGCGACATCATCTCAACTCCGCAGAAACACTTCTACGCCTTCACCAATGAGCACCATCGGTAGGCGCAGCTCTCCCACCGGTCCTAGGCATCTCGCCAATCCAGTGTGCACGGCACACAAATTGACGCCTCCTTACTTCTGAACTGTGGCACTTGGTGGCGCAAAGTCTTGGTGGGACGGTTTCCCGATGGCACCAGGGCCAGCGGAGTTGGTGGCATAGTGGCGTTGTGCATAAGGCTGCCCCTGTCCAGATGGCCAAGGATTGGTAGCTGATTTTTTGGCCAGGGCTGAAATTAATTGCACTCCTTTCATTGAATTGTGGCACTCCGTGGGTGGGGTTTGAATTGTATGTTTGTTGAACTTCCTTCACACAGTACATAGCCAACTGTGCTACGTACAGTTGAGATAATAAACTGTGCATCTGATTTGGCTGGTGGGACTGAACACCCCCGTGGCTTGAGTTACTTAGCGGAAAGGCGTTTTGTAAATGTAATTTATAATTATTAAATACATTTTTTGTCATTAAAACTGGATTCCTGAAGGTGTTTCCAGCACTCGGAAGGAAACCTCAGACATAATGCTTAACAACTCACGGATCTACATGCTTTACACTTCTCGCACAGCTGTGCTCATTTTACTGCCCCAGAAGAGGTACGATTTTCCTAGTCGACCTCTTAAGCGCCATTTCAACTCCACAACTTTGTTACTTTGACTCGCGTGCAAGTGATTACACAGCAACGCCCAGTGTGATTGTCTAACAGCGCTGTAACTTGATTGTCGTGTGTCTCAGAGACACGTACGTGGAGCAGGAGAAGGGGGAGTCTTCCAATGACCGTAACGACCGAGCCATCCGCGTGGCCGCCCGCTGGTACAACCAGCACCTGGCCAAGACATCGGAGGAGTCCGGGCGCAATGAAAATGGCGATCCGCCCACAGTGCTGCTCGTGACGAATGACCGCGAGAACCGGGAGAAGGCGCGTGCTGAGGGGTTGCAAGCGTACACCGGTATGTGAGCAGTTCCGGCGCCGCCGCTTTATACGACGGGAACATGCAGTGGTTTTCTCAAGAGATGAGAGGGCTCATTTCGGGCCAAGTAAACCTAGAAGAGGGCCAAACTACAGTATCACCATTCATATCTTACTGGCCACCAATGCTAACTCTTGTCACTCTGCTTTGCACATGTAACAGCCCTCTTTGTCAATCCGCTGCTGGGTGTCGGCCTCGTTCTGTGCGAGGTTGTGCGAGGTTGTTTGACTGTACGAATGTGCGTTCACACTTCGCGTTTTGGCTTTAACACGGTTTTACCTTTTTATGGAAAGTTTTTAGATTTTAACGTTCAACCGCGCTCGCTACATTGCAAGTGTGCAGTGAACATGCAGTGGTTTTCTCAAGAGATGAGAGGGCTCATTTCGGGCCAAGTAAACCTAGAAGAGGGCCAAACTACAGTATCACCATTCATATCTTACTGGCCACCAATGCTAACTCTTGTCACTCTGCTTTGCACATGTAACAGCCCTCTTTGTCAATCCGCTGCTGGGTGTCGGCCTCGTTCTGTGCGAGGTTGTGCGAGGTTGTTTGACTGTACGAATGTGCGTTCACACTTCGCGTTTTGGCTTTAACACGGTTTTACCTTTTTATGGAAAGTTTTTAGATTTTAACGTTCAACCGCGCTCGCTACATTGCAAGTGTAGCGCGTGGTCACGGACTACTTTTTTGAGCGGCGTCGGTGTTAGCAGTGTTGTTGGATGATGCTTGAAGCTGTCGTACTGATGTATGCTGTGATACCCGGCGTGCCTTCCTCTTCCTCAGTATTTGTTCCAGCAGGATCTTTGTGCGGAGCGTCATCTCGCTCCCTTATCTTTTTCGCTCACCATATCTCTCACTTGAGATTTAAATAAGGGAGTGCCATACTTAGCATGTTGATAGAGATATTATATAAACACAACACATTTAAAAATCAACATGTAAAACAGTGTACTATACTATCAAAAACAATTAAATTACGGGCTGGAACGGCACCCCCACCTTTACCGTTATTAGTTATGGGAAAATTACTCCCGCTGAACGCGAATTAGTTTCACTTGGCAATTGTCAGGAACGCAACCCCCGTGTTAAGCGAGGACTTGCTGTATTTCACCACTCTGGTCAGTGCGGGTTGGTGACAACGATAGCACGGAACAAAACAATGGATATTGCTTCACCACCCTATGCTGCCCACCATAGCCTATAACAATCTGCTGCGGTTGACTTTACCAAAGGCTCCTTTATAATACTCCAATGGCATGAAAACAATACAATGATAATATCCGAGTGGATGGGTGCCTCGGAAAGAACGATTTGCCCCCCACCTTCGCGATTAAATGAATACCATGGCTCGGGGCCGTGATCCCATTTAAGGATCCCTCTCTTTAACAGTGGTAAATGTAGTGCCTCTTGTTAAACAGTGCTTCAGTTAAACAGGAAAATGAATAAATCCAGCAGGCGTGACTTGAAAAATAATAAATTTACATTTTTGGTGGCACTCTAAATCGTCCAGTAAACCGTGTCGCTGATTATAATTTCTGCGTTTATCTGCGCGTGTCTGTGTACCCCCAGTGGAGGAATATGTGCGCAGCTTGCTGGACAACCCTGAGTTGATTGACCGTCTGGCACTGGCCTCGGAGCAGGTGAGACTCCGTATGCGTGCATCAGCACTGCCCCCCCTTATTTTAATGGTGCGGGCCTGTACCCTTGTCCGACCCCTCACGTCCGCGCTGCATCCAGCTGCCTCATTGAAGAAAGGAACACTTGCCTTGCGCCGAGTACGACGTTTCGCTGGTTGTAATCGCCAGCGAAACGGCATACTCGAATTGTAAGTGTTGTGGGTTTACTCTCCAATACACTGGCATGCTGCAGTAGTAACTAATTGACACGTTTTGTTTTACGTAACAAACCTTTCTAATTGGCTGTACCGGGTTAACGACACACATTTACGCGATCTTACCCAAAAAACCTTTATTATGGATAATATTGGTCGCGAAAGAATACGTATTAAACAGCTCCCTTTTAGAACGTCTCATCCTCACCAGCCATGGTCAATCAATAAAATAAATCCTAGATTTATTACGTGGCATATTTAGCAAAAAGCAGAGACGGAAGCGTGGAACTTTAGATGTAGCTCTATGATATCCGCTTTTGTGGAACGTTCTCTAACATGGATGGCCGTACTGCTCTGAGATAAATCAGACTGGATCCTTCGTCTCGTTACGTGATGGCGGTTGCAAAATTGCTGTTGACGCGTGCATGTGCCGTGCGTGTGCTGTGTACGCGCGCAGGATGTGGTGGAGTCCCGGGTAATCTTCCCCGAACATCTCCCGCTGTCCCAGCTGCAGCAAGGTGTGCGCTCCGGCCGGTTTGTCCAGGGAACCTTCCTTGCGAGTCGGGAGAATTACCTGGAGGGGACTCTGAGGGTGCGAGGGGACGGTGACAGTGATAAAGAGGTACGAGTTTCACAAGCCTGCATCTGGTGGGAACAATGCTGTTTGATCGTATCTGTGTGAGTTTTAAAAACTAATTTATAATGAAGCAGTGGCATAGCGTTCTTGGCATGAGCAGTAGCTCTTAACCTTTACTGCAAGGCTGCAGTAAAGGTTAAGAGCTACTGGGCTAAAATATTTGTACAGTAGTACCTCAGTATACGTCGATAATTCGTTTCAGAAGGTAGGACTTATACTGAAAATGACATATACCAAAATATTTTTTCCCTTAAGAAATAAAGGGAAAGGAAATAATCCGTTCCAGAGTATAGAAATGTTATTTTATATGGCATATTATACATTAATGGGGTTGTATAAAATAATTTAGACACTACTTATTACTAAAATGCATACATAAATTAAAATAAATGCATAAGTAAATTAAAATAAATTGAAATCAAAATCAAATTTTACATCAATTTACCTTGCTCAGAGGAGTTGAATGAATTCGCAAAAAATTCACGTTAAAATGACACAAAACTCGTGAAAATTCACAGAGTTATTGCAAGGGTTGTGCACTGAACGAGATCTACAGGCAGACTGAGGAGCGGCGCTTTGTTTCAGTCGTGAATAGGATATACGCGGGTACGCGGTGACTCATCCCGACCCATACAAGTTCTAGCAAGCGCGTCGTATCCCAAGCAAGACGTCGTATCCCAAGACATTTTTCTCTCTCGTCAAAACACGACGTATACCAAATTCGACGTATTCCAAAGCGGTCGTATACCGAGGTATGACTATGTTGAACGTCTTTTGCACCCCACGTAGCCTACCGTGCTAATTGGGTCCTGGTGCATTTGCACTGCCTGCACACTCGATAGCTACGCCACCACAACCACAGTATATATGTGAATTGTGACTACTTTGTTAACAAAATGAATGGTCTGTTAATTAACGTTACAAAATGTAACGTTAATTAACAATTAGGTACAGTCCAGAAATTGCCTGCTTGAACATATGTTCCTGAAAAACATTGGTTTCAGAAGTTTCATGGGCCCATAGTCCTACATTTTTAATTGTTTATTCGTGGTATTAAAACTCTTGTATATGTTCCTCTCTAACAGCACTTGGCCCAGCAGTCTGTAAAAGCTATACGGGGGATCTTTTTTTGTCTGCGTGCAGGTGTTGATCCAGGGGCTGCAGCATTTAAACCGCGCGATGCATGACGACGTCGTGTGCGTGGAGATGTTCCCCGAGGAGCGCTGGGTGGCCCCCTCCTCGCTGGTCCTGCACGATGAGGGCATCTCAGGGGACGTTGCAGAAGAGAAGGAGGAAGATGTGGTGGTGAGTGGAGCGTCAACACTGCCGAACCAGAATCAAACTCTGACACCTGCGTTGTGCGTGTCTCTCTCCCCGTGGTCGCATGGATTTTTCTCTAGGTCCTCTGGTTTTTCCCTCCACAGTTACAATCGGACATGCATTTAGAGTATTTGGCTGCTATCAATTTCAAATGTGATAAGACACTTAATTGAACGATTATTTTGTGGCCAGGTCACTTAAAAAGAGCTATATAGCTCAGGGTCCTTACCTGGTAAAGTTAAAATAGTTTATAGTTTTTAAATAGTTTTGGTATAGTTTAAACAAAGAATAACAACAAAGACTCAACCACTTCAAGAGAGACCTTAAACATAATGAACACCGTGTGACCGGACCGCAATCCACATTAGAGATGCTGTTAGCTTGATTTTGCGTTTCTTAAATGACATTACATTACTTCAAAATCAAGTCAGGAGTGCTAATCATTTCGTATTATTTTTGTACATATGTACGTAGGGATTATTTGACCATACTTCGGTGCGGGTTGGTGAGGGGGGCATAGAAGGACAGGACAACAGTTCATTTTTCTGTACTGCGCTCTGCTGCCGGCCATTTTGGCGCAGAGCCTATACCACCTGTTATGCATATCCAGGTTCAAACACAGCTTCGCTTCCACGGTCTGAGCACCCTTTTGATGTTTATTTTATTTAACTTAATGAGAAACCAAGAGATCAGGACACATTATTTGCGAGAGTGACCTGGGTCACAGGGTGGCCTCTATATTGAAAACTAATTTCTTCAGAACTGCTTTTTGTATTTAGATTGGTGTCCTTGCCTCGCACCTCTAATTATCATGGTTGGCTGTGTACGGTGCGAAATAAGTTCTACATGCATACATACCACAGTGACAAAAAGCGAAACATAAATAAAGTGCAGCAATGAAGTTAATTGAAATTGGCACAAAAAACAACCGTGGTTTGTGAAAAGTCGACAATATTGCACAAACATAAACAAGTGTTAGATAATAAATTGCTTGTAGTGCAAGTTGGCTTGGGCAGATTATTTATAGACTGATCATTGCATAGTTATACTTATAAAAACGTTACGTTAACATTAAACACATATAGGGTGACTGATGTGCTAAGTAGGTAAGAGAAAATGTCAATCACAATTGCAAGTGAAATCATAAAGAATCGAGAGATTAAGCATCAAATTGTGAATTCGATGGGAGGGTAACTTTTGTAGATAATATTGGTCGCGAAAGTCTCCGCGTTTTTTTTTTAAACGTGTGGTGTCTGATGGGCGTGTTTCGGTTGATTCTATCAATCGCCAGAACTCTTTTAACTTATCAGTATTTACTGTGATCTTTTGTCATTTTAACAAAGTGTCAGTCTCATTGACACTCATGAGACACAGCATGAAACCACATCTGCAGGTTAAGCGCTATTGTTTTGGATTGCTCCTTCCCCTTCAAGCCAAATTGTATTGTGTTACTCAGTGAGCTGGTAAGAAAATATTTCTTTCATTATTTCAGTGTGTGAGAGAGACGCTACTGTGGTGAGTGCTCATTTGAGTTTGAGTTGTCATCTCCCGGTGCTATCCCAGCTGCTGCTGTCGTCGCTCTTGCTTAGATTACGCAACACGATGTTTGTCCTTTGTTTTGGTTTCCAGCTGCAAGCCGGAAGTGGGAAGATGCGTCGGCCCACTGGCAAAGTGGTCGGGATCATCAAGCGGAACTCGAGGCCGCTGTGCGGCATGCTCATGCCCAGCCCAATCAAGGAGGTGGGCTTATCTGCATATGTGTGTGTACGTGTGGGGAGCGGTGATGTAGCGGTTAGCGTGCTGCGCTGCGAATCCTGGGACCCGAGTTCGATTATATTTATCGCTCAACCAATAAACAGTGGCAAATGTCTGAACCTGTCTTGAGGCCTTCCCTAGGTCGACTCGGCCATAAATGAGTATCTGATGTGGCATGTAAATATCAGCACTTTGGAGACAAAGGCGGTCGGGCATGGTTCTGGCCGTACCCACCCCGTCGTTTGCCATACCAGCTTTAATAGGTGTGTGCTGACGGCAGTCGCCCAAACAGTTTGTTGAATGCCTTACTGGGGGCTCTTTGTGCGTGCTGCAGGCCACCCGCCACCTGTTCACGCCCGCGGACCGCCGCATGCCACGAGTGCGGGTGGAGACAAGACAAGCGGCGGCCCTGCAGGCCCACCGCATCGTGGTGGCCATCGATGGCTGGCTGCGACACTCCCGCTACCCGAACGTACGACTGCACCGTGACGCCCCGCACGCCGTGACACCTCACCCGTCCGTCCCATGGTCGGCATCTTGGGGCCCATCCCTCTGTCACTTGACGCGCGGCCACGCAGCTCTGTATGCAATACAGCCATCGAAACCAAAACACGAACGGTGACATGGTGAATTGGAAGTCAAGGTGGATGAGCTGGCACCACTGTGATTCTTAGTTTGAAAGCATGGCAAACTCACCTGTGATTCAACCTAGGTTATTAAGGTGTTGTAAGTTGATAGTCTCAGCCCAGTCACCAATAACTGCACCAAAAACGATATTAAATTTGGTTGTGCACTTGGATTGTTTAATTTCCATCTCTGAGAAAATTACTGTTTTTGACTGCCATGTGATGAACATTACTTTGATTGGCAGAGTCGTTGGAAAAGCACTGTCCCCCTACAATTTGGACCGCATTTCACTTCAATGGATCTTAGACGTAGCTCTGTTATGTCTGCTCCTGTTCGTCGTCCTTGACCACGAAGGGTGGTATAGATTGCGTGTCTTGTGTGATACCATTAACACAATGAGAAAAAAACTGGGGAAAAGTAAAATTTATTCAATCTTGATTTGAAGCTTTCGTGACTACCTGAATCCATACTCTTTGGTTCTTTCGGTAAAGTCACGTAGGTAGAAAATAAAATAAATCACGACGTTTCGATCGCAACACAAGCGGTCGTCATTAGGCGGAAAAAGTATAATCCAGCAGTGGAACTGCTGAACTAACGAGAGAGCTGCTACAACAAGGCTATATATGTGGCAATGGGCAAGCAAGCGGGGTCTGAGCTGTTCCACTGCTGTATTATATTTTTTTCGCCTGAGGACGACCGCTTGTGTTGCGATCGAAACGTCGCGATTTATTTTATTTTATACCTACGTGACTTTACCTAAAGAACCAAAGAGTATGTAAATATATTGTTAAGATGTATTCTTTGGGTTGTATCTTTGTTTAAACAGATGCCGGTTAATATTCTACATCATGAACATTAGGTACAAGGTTGGCATTGTGGTTGTGCTCTTCATACCTATTTGCCACTGCACAACCGAGCGGCACCATGACTGGCACGGTTTAGTAGGCTGCAGGTTGTTTATCCACTGCAGAAGCGGATCCATGCCACGGACGTCAATGCTTTGAACAAGTCTAGGCACGTGCAGATGACGCTGTGGCGCCACGTCCTCGTGGCGTATCGACTGCCGTCACACAATTAACGCGTCGTTAGCACCGCCCCTGGCCCTGCTCGGCCCCCGGATAGATTTGGATGCCTTGTGGGGTCAGCATACCCTGGTTTGGTTCCGGTTCGACACCGCAAAAAGCCAGTGGGTGACCACAGACACCTCGAGAGCTCTGCGCTGTCTGAGCTCCAATGTACCAGTGGAAAAGGGATACCGGTGACCATTGGCCACGTATGTACATATGCATGTTGAACTTCTTTGGCACCTTACGTAGACAACCATACTAATCGTAGGTGTGCTTGTGCAGGGCCATTTTGTGCGGTCTCTGGGCGAATGTGGGGATAAGGAGACGGAGACCGAGGTGCTGCTGCTGGAGCACGACGTGCCACACCAGCCCTTCAGCCAGGCCGTACTTGCCTGCCTGCCCTCTCCCACATTCAGCATCACAGCAGAGGTACGCATGAGACGAGTTAAATTCTTACGCCTGCGGTGCGTTGGTGTGTTTGGTCGTGCATGTGAGAATCCTTTACTTCTTTATTACAAGGCCCGCAGGCCACTGATGGCCCCTGGTGGCCTTTGGTGTGGCCCATGATGTGCGGCCCCCGACGTATAGGCCCTCGACAATAGACAAATGTGAAAACATCATCGTGCTGTCAAACCTCAATGGTTTCAAGATGTTTGGCTTGCGTAGAATACCTTCTAGAGGGCCTCTCTGGAGCTCCCTCGAGTCGAGGACCTGCCGCTGCACTGGGATGAACGAGAAGCCACAGGGCTCACTTTTACCGCAGACCGTATATAGAAAAGCTGTCGACCTGAAAGTTAAGTCGATGGCTCAGACACATCATCGTAAGAAGAGAGGAAATTCACATCCGGTGGAAGGAAGGCGACGGACTTATGGAAGCACCAGGGCGGAGACCCGAGAGGCAGGCCTTGAGTGATGCGGATCAAAGTGGTGAGCCAGGATGTGGAGGACTCTGCAGTGGCTTTGGAGATGGTCCAGTACAGAAATGAATGGAGCAAGGGGACTACAGACTTTTCTCCTATAACGCTGTACTTGCGTTCCTGAAGAACACCGAATTGTGAAAAAATCGCATATTAAATAATATAATATAGGGTAAAGCACAGTCCGCGATAACACGTGAGATGCGTACGCAGGTACGTGAGTAGCATCTAGAAGCATCCAGCAGCATCCCGCCTTGTGTGATGCTACACCGAGGCAACCGTACAACTGCTTATTCTGCCTCGCACAACGCAGTTCTGTTCACTCAATCACCTTTTATCCAATTCGCATCCATGTTATGAAAAAAATGTGTTCCCTAATGCTTTCATCGCATTATATCTAATTCACGATATGAAAACATGCGGAGTTATAGGAGAACGGACTGTACTTTCAAAATATTCAGTCGCCTATTGAGAAGATAGAACGTCATTAGAATGAAGTTGGTTTATCCATGTATGTTTGTTGTAAGGCAGCGTTTTGTTGAACCTGGTGCTGTGTGTGTCCCGTACAAGGACCAGGCTGGCAGGGAGGACCTTCGTGCGTTGTCTATCTGCAGTGTGGATCCTCCAGGCTGCACAGACATCGACGATGCCCTACACTGCAGACCGCTCGACAATGGGAACACCGAGGTATTCCTTTGGTGGTGGTTATCGTGGTCGCAGTCGCGGTAATTCGTGCCTATTCCTTTCATGGTTTTGTCAGTGCTAGCGGAGGTGACAAGGGGAGTTTAGTGGCACGATGATAAGTGCACTGCACATTCATCCTTTCAAGCTGGGTTAGATTCCCAGTCATGGCTAACACCGGTACAGAGTGATATCTAAAAAACTGCCCAAGTTCTCCCCTTCACCACCTGCATTGACCATCGTAATAAAGCAAGGTCAAATGACAATCGCGACCCATTACGGCATTGAGAAGTCCTCATTCTGCAGTGGATTGACAAAGTGGTGGACAATATTCCTGTTATTAAGTTTCCAAACATTGTTGCCTTAGTGGCCGTATTCTTGGTCTCGGCTTCGCTCAGGACTGACTTCAACACGGCTCGGTTCTGGCTTGATCTGCTCCGTTGCCTCCAAAGATGCATGAGTGGCTCAGCTATGCCATGACTCGGGCTCAGCTCACGGAAATTTTTAGCGTGGCTGGGAGCATGCAGAGAGATACGAGGAGACACAAGGAACACACACAGAGGCTCAGGGCTGGAACCATGCTCGGAGGCGGCTCGAGTTTTAAGCGTTGCTTCGATGTGGCTTATTTAGAATTAGAATCAGAATATTTATACTGGATGAATCCGATGAGCTATAAAGCTATTTTTCACATGTCCAGTAGAGGCGGGTAAGAACGTTACAACAACAAACAGGACAAAAACATAATAGTAGTGCAAAGTACAAGAAAGTGAAACACATTACCCATACACATACAAATAAATCTAAACCATCCCCATCCTACCAAGCAAAGCCCACTGAGGTATTAATTTATTTTTGAAAAGTGACCTGGCCACAAATGAATAGCTCAACATAGTGACCCATCATTTGGACATTTATAGCAACCAAAATAATAGAAATAATCTCAATGCATGTTGCGCTAAAGCCAAACCTGAGCCAAGCCATGGCTAAGACCCCACTTCACTGGCCGAATGCCTGGCTCACAATGAATGCACCAGGTAGTAATGGGTGTGCATTTCATTTCACATTCTTGTGCTTTGGTTGGAGTGGCTATGGTGGAGGTTTTGCATGCATGCATGTGTAGTGAGCGACTTCCGACACACGTCTATTTGAAGGCTTCTTATTTATTCAGAGCACACAGGGCGATACACTTCATAATTCGGCTACACCCAGGCTGTCCAAACACGCAGCCCATCTCCGTCCTACGCTATGCTGGCTGGTTGATGATCGTAGCGGCGGCGACGGAGCTGGTCTTGCAGAAGAACAGCCATGTGGTCGAAAACGAAGAGATGACGACGGTAGCGACGCAACCGGGACCCAGACCCCACACTAAGGAGCCCCGAAGCTCTGGTTTGGTGCTCCTTATATCTGCCTGGAGTGGCCAAGCTCCACCTCTGGCCATGCCCCCTGTTCTAGACCCTTCAGGATGGTTCTCGGAGCTTCTCGACTGACTCCGCCCTTGACCTTTACCCCTGATACGCCCCTTCATAATAAGGCATTATGTAATGCAGCTATAACCGTAATTACCCTTACAGGCCAGCAGGTATCATCCTGTCATTACACATGCATGCATGGGAGGGTGGTGACGGTGCATGAACGTGTGTTCTAGGTCGGGGTACACATCGCCGATGTGAGCTACTTTATCCGGCCGGGGAATGCCTTGGACGAGGAGGCATCTCTGCGTGGTACCACAGTTTACCTGTGTGAGAAGGTGAGATGTGGATTTCATCTTACCACAATATAAAGTGTTTTACGACCCGCCGATTTTTCTCCTTTCATTCTTAACTTTATGACATGATGTAAAATATTACGATGTAACGATTATCGCGGTACCAGTTTCACCACAACTTTGTAATTGTATTTCACATTTTCACTCTATTTTTTTGTGTGCTTTTCAGTACTTCCCGTATGAATAAAGATAACTTAAAAATGAATTAGAATTAAAAAAAATGTTCAACAATGCTAAATATCTCTCATGATGTTTTAAATTAGGTGATTTTTGTGGATTTCTTATCATATGATGTACCGTGACCTCATGAGCGGCAGGCTATCGGTGCATTGGTAACACTCGTGCCTCGCAGCAAGGAGACGCTGGGTTTGATTACTCAACTCGTGTGCCTTTTCGCTTGCAGTTTGTTTGTTCTCCCCACTGTTAGTGAATGGGTTGCCTCTGGAATCACCAGGTTTCCTCTAAATAAAACCCATACAATCTTAACTGGCATTCGCGAAAACATCCCCTTACTGAACAGTTACCTGCAGGTGACTTAATCATGTGTGGGTTTGGTTGCAAAACACTCGTTGAGTTGGTGCATATGTATTTGCCAGATTGTGTTTATTGACAGAGAAGTGGTTGCGTTTATGTGTTTGTGCACCTGCAGAGGATTGATATGGTGCCAGAGTTATTGAGCTCAAACCTGTGTTCCTTGAGATCCAACGTCGACCGGTGAGATGCACCAACAACCGTGAACACGCGAGTTCGCACATTGCAACCCATACGCAGCAGCTAACGTGCGTTGTTGCCAGGTGCACATGTAATCCCATGATGCTTGGCACTGTTAAAGTGTCATTGTACAGATCCACACAAGCATGTGTACATACATAAGCAGCCAAACCAGGATGGCGCAATGGTAACACTTGTGTCTCACAGAAAGAATGGCCTAGGATTGATGCCCAACTCTGTTGCCTTTCCATGTAGATTTTGTATGTTCTCGCCCTATTCTGCATGGGTTGACTCCAGGTTATCAGGTTTCCTCTCATCGCTAAGATAAACGTGTTATTATTACTATGATCCTTAACCAAGGAATGCCTCACTGAATCTCATAACTTGGGAAGGGTACTGCAAAGCTTTTGCAGTCGGGAACAATGGTTGCTACGTATATATTCCAGTTGAGTAATTTGTAACAACCTAAACCGGTATTTGGCCAAACATCCCGCTGCTGAAAGAATGACTTGACTACCAAAAACTTGGCAAGACCCTCCTGAAAAAGAGTCTCGAGACTTTGCGAGGCTTTCCTGAGTGAACACCCTGCACCGCTCCAATGTCGACGACTCCGCAACTCGTCGGTGAATGGCGACGGTGCATGTGCTGTGCGCGTGCAGGCTGGCGTTCTCCTGCATATGGGAGATGACTCCAAAGGCTGAGATCGTGAGCACACGTTTTACCAAGAGCATCATCAATTCCAAGGTGATTTCCCCCCCCACAGACGTTCAGTTTTTGTAAAACTCTCGTTTGCTGTGTATTGTATCGGTGCTTTGCTATGTTAGTGCAGTTGAGGTTTCTGGATGGCTGAGAGGTCAGAGCATTGAGCTTGCACCTCTGGGTTCACAAGTGTAGCAAGATGAACAGGGTTCACAAGTGGTAGTATGTATGTTGAACTTCTTTCGCACCGTACGTAGCCAACAGTGCTAATAGGAGGTGCGAGGAAGGACATGAAAGTAGTGAGTTGATGGTCTCTCCCCAGTCAACAATCGCTTCAGAAAACACAGGTTTTTAGGTTAGATCGTGTAAATATGTAAATGTATCATTAAACCCACCCCCACCCGACACAGCCAACTAGTAAGGGTTGTCACGTAAACATAAGATGCCAATTCGTCACGAGTACAGCACACCGGTGTGTTTGAGAGCCAAGCCACAACATTTACAATCCGAGTATGACGTATTATTTGTTGCGGTTGCACCCGAATCAAGAGCTGAATGGCTCACAGGATTATTCTAAATAAATGAAACTGAAAACGTTTCGCGAGTTATTACAACTAGCTTCATCAGGCGACAGCCAGATTCATCAATCCTCCCCCAACTTTGCACAAGAAGAGTGCACAAGTGTTGTCATCATATCTACGCCTCTATATAAGGAACGAAACAGGTGGACTTCTCCACAAATCTGGCTGTCGCCTGAGGAAGCTAGTTGTAATTACTGGCAAAACATCATACTCCGATTGTAAATGTTGTGGCTTGGATCTCCAACACACCGGTGTGCTGTACCAGTGACGAATTGGCATGTTCTGTTTATGTGACAACCCTTACTAATCGACTGTGTCGGGTGGTGGCGGGTTTAACGACACAATTATATATTTACGTGATCAAACCCAAAAAACCTATATTATCGATGATATTGGTCGCGAAAGCCTACGTGTTAAACTCGCACAAAAGACCACCAAATTACATTGCACTAAATTTGGTTAAATTCCAGCTTTGAGAATTAAAAATATATAAATTCTACTGTCTGTGGGTGAGCGTAACCCTCTGGTCATCGGGAGACACATAGACATCTGTTGAGTTCTGGCTTTGTCTTGGATCAGGCGTGGGCATTGTGTGATTGCGAGGACCCCACGGTTCACCCATTGTCTGTTCATCGTATCCCCGCAGGCGTCTCTGACGTACGCAGAGGCCCAGCTGATGATGGACGACGCTGGGCGGAAGGACGCGGTCACCAGCAGCCTGCGTGGCCTCAACTCCCTTGCCAAGATCCTCAAGCAGAGGCGCATTCAAAACGGGTAACTCATTATAATAATAGGTTTTTTACCCTTTTTTTGGCAACACAACTGACACCTTTTTACAAGGAATCATTTTTGCATTAACCACAATACGTGGGGTCAAAATGTAAAAAAAACACAACTCTGAAAATGTATGCACTGTCCTTGAAATTTATTGGTCCACACCAGAGACAGCTTTTCTTAGAGCCCAGTCTTACATGGTGTTGGACCAGATGATGCCAAAAGGCGCACAATTCAAAGACAACGCACCATCTGAGTATGAGGGCTCGGGGTAAGCATTTACATCATGAGGCCTCCTTTGCCAGTAGCAAAATATAATAATAGGATTTTTACCCTTTTTTCTGGCAACAAAACTGACACCTTTTTACAAGGAATCATGTTTGCATTAACCACAATACCTGCGGTCAGAATGCAAACTCATTGTCAAGATCCTCATCCGCTCCACCGCCTTTGGAGCGCTGAGCAGTATTAACGGGTGCCCCACATTTAGTCAATCGGCAGGTCGCGTGTGGCGCGGTAAAGTGTGGTTACTCCCGTGTCATCTAAGACATCCGGCCAGCATGGAAGAGGAGGGAAAATACATTGAGAGGGACTGTAGAAGGGTGTCTCTCGAGGGCCCCCTCTTATGGGAGCCCCCTTCTTCTAGCAGTGGCTTGAGCAAACAATCACAAGGCTGCACCTGTAGCTTTTTTTGACCCCATGATGCATGAGGCTTTTGGTGAATACCATGCACAAACAAGTGTTACAGGCATACTCTTTGGTTCTTTCGGTAAAGTCACGTAGGTATAAATTAAACTAAATTAAATCACGACGTTTCGGGCGCAACACAAGCGTCCGTCATCAGGTGGGACAACCACAGCAAGAAACAATTGCTGATGTGGGCAAAAAGGGCTGCTGTAACAAGAGGCTATATAGTTAAGAGAGGGGGGAGGAGCAATGGGGGGAGAGATAGAGAGGGGGGGGTGTGGGGTAGGGGGAGGGGATTGCTGCGAGCAAAAACGTTTAGAGGACGAGCAGACAAAATGCCAGGGGTGGGGGGGGGAGTGGACGGGGCTGGGAGTGGGAGGCTGTAGAAACTGGAGATGCAGAAATGCAGGTAACACCATAAAGCAGTTAAGGTTTTACCTGGTTAATAACATCCTTCTAGATTGAAGTGTTACAGGCTGCTGCGGGGCTGCATTGTGGGCAAGAGAGGACAATGCAGTAACATCAATTGTCTTACTCTACATTATGCTCCCATGCGTGTGCTCCCCCACCTTTGCCAACGCGTACTGACCACCACTGTTAAGTACGGTAAAACCACCCCACGACCCGCATGACATGGGGCGGCCCTCATCCAGCAGTGGATTGACTAACGAGCTGTACATGTACAACTCAAATATCTGAGTTTGTGAAGTGTCTTATATTAAGATTCTGTGTTGTTTTGGCTGGACATGCATAATCGCTGATGGCCCTTCTCCTCCCGTAGGGCGTTGACTCTGGCATCCCCTGAGGTCCGATTCCACATGGACAGCGAAACCCACGACCCGATCGACCTGCAGACCAAGGAACTCAAGTGAGTCTCGTCTGCAATCCGACTGCAATCTGACTTGTGCAGATCTCTCTATTAGAATCAGAATATATATTTCTACTGGAAGAATCCGATGAGCTTTCGAGCTCTTTTTTTCACAGATGTCCAGTTGGGGCATGTCACAACGTTACAACAACAAACAATACAAGCACACGTTAGGATTGAAAAGTATTGGAAGGTTAAAAAAAGAACTTAAACAAATATACAAAAAAAACTAAACTTTTTATTTACCAAGTAAAACCCTGACCACAAATGATAGCTGAACAAAGTGGCTTATCACGTGGGAAGTTTATTATCAGCAAAATAATATAAGATAAAGATACTTGACCCTTGTGGTTGATGTGCTGTGGTGGCGGAAACTGGTGCGTGTACACAGGGAGACCAACTCGATGGTGGAGGAGTTCATGTTGCTCGCCAACATCTCCGTGGCGGAGCGCATCGTAGACGAATTCCCCGAGTGTGCGCTGCTCCGACGCCACCCGGCGCCTCCGCCTTCCAACTACGACATCTTGGTGAAGGCGGCGAAATCAAAGGTAGAGTAGAACCTCTTTTAACGACCACCCCTGTTAACTAATCACTTAACGACGGGCCTCCATAGAGCCCAATGTGTAGTGTATGGTTGTGTAGGGTTTCCATAGCGCCCAATGCGTTCTGCGTTCGCTTACTGACCATTCCCCTGTTAACGACAGGCTGTTGTAGGTATAGTAAATATAAATTAATGCATATATTAACCGGTTTTTAAAATGTGTTTATAATGTCGTTAGTATTAATATCCATTGTTTAAATATTAGAAAGTACGTTTTTTGGGTGAAAAAGGGAAACTTTAGATGCTATCAGAACGAATTAAGCATTTAACACGCATTTCCTTTCCTTGCTTAATGGCCAAATCACTTAATGCTCGGTTTCGTGGAACCAATTACCGTCTTTAATAGGGGTTCTACTGTATCTAGATTGCTATTAACTTTTCTTTAATATCATCCTCCTCGTAAGGAATTTCAGAGGTCGCCGGGTGGATCAAATTTGTTTTCAGGTTTTTTGGTTTAACCGGGTGAGAACTCAAGAGACCATGATAGTCTCATTTGCAAGGGTCACCTGGGTCACCCTATGGCTCAGAGATTACAGCTGGGATCCCGGCTTCAAAATTCAGCAGCCGCATTGAACAAACTGCGTTATCAAATATAGGGAGTTGAAGGACTCGGCTCGTTTCCTAGCCACTCCACAGAAATAAGCAAAAAACCATGTAGTACTGTATTTAATTTTAGATCAATTCCAGCACTGAAATGTTGAAATATCAGGTTGACTTATTGTGATGAACATTATGCTCAAAATGGGTGGGAATGTGCTACCCACGACTGTGAAGCAGAGGTGTCTTGAAGCGATCTCAGTATTGGTCTGAGTGAGCAATTGCAGGGCTGCACCTGTACATTTGTCTTGAGATGTAGCCGTATAGTTTTCACTCGCCCTTCGAAGCAGAACAACTCAAAGGTGTGATGAACCACAAACAAAGCTGGAAGGCAGCCAGGCACTGTGCCAGCGCGAACATTTGCCCAAGCTCCACAGTGCTCTATGTATTAAGATATTTTCAGCCAATGAAAAAGCATTTATACATATGGGAGGAAACCAGAGCACTCTGAGAACATCCACATCAGGCGGGTGGGTGAGCAACTCACTGTCCCCGTACAGATGTAGATTAATCCACTTGCTGTACTGCCTTCTCCTGGCAAGCCAGGATATGGAAACCTTAATGCCCACAGGAAGTGCGCTGAATAACATTTTCTTTCCAATCCACCACAACCCTTGCTGCTTCTCCAGCACTGAACGACAAGCCACGTGCGGGAAAGTCACCTCACAAACAACGGTGTGCCCGATTTTTTGCGCAGGACATCGAGATTCAGGTGGACTCGGCGAAGGCGTTGGCCGAGTCCCTGGACCGGGCGGCGGTGCCGGGTGCGCCACCATACCTCAACACTTTGCTGCGCATCCTGGCCACACGCTGCATGATGCAGGCCATCTACTTCTGCTCCGGCATGGAGCCCGACACCCACCACTACGGGCTCGCCACCGCCATCTACACCCACTTCACGTCGCCCATTCGCCGGTGACGTGCTCTGGCACCAGGCACACGCTTGAAATCGACCTTCGCGATTATTGAGGGGACTATGTTGTTGTCTTGCTGTGGTCTGGGACTGTGCTGCCTTTCCCAAGTTTAGGAATTTATTTATTATTGAAATACTTATGCAATGTTAACTTGCGAATGAAGTTCAACATACAACTTATATATCTTTTTTCTATTATTTACTTTTAGTGATTTGTTTACCTTTCCTATTCTTAGCACTCCTATCATCTACCTACTGGGCATCTGTCAAAAAGAGCTTTTATCGCGAATCGGATTTCTCCAGGATAAAGATTCAGATTTTGACTTATTTTTCTAAAAGGTCCTATAAACGGGAAGTTTGGCCAACTCCTTAAATGGTTGTTTGGCTTGTGTTGGAGAAAAACTAGAGGATCCGGAGAACGCATACAAGGAGGGTGACAGTGTTCCACGTACAGAATCAAGAATCCATTGCCGTGTTGCAGCGGCGGCCAAAAGTGAATCGCAATCCTGCCATGGATCACTAACGATTTAATAAGAACACAGATATGAGCAGGCAGCAATTTGCGTCACATCTGATAACAAATAAAAAAATAAACAAAGAATTAAATTCATGCATTAACAAAGATAACTTCCACCAACAGATGGTGCTAGAACGTGGTATGTCCAGAGTACTGTATTCTATCACAGCGTTAAATCCATCTGAGTCATTGTTTGCGTAGCTTTCTAGTGGATCGCGAAGCCCGCTGAGATCCATCAGAATGAATCGCGGTGCTTGGTGGATTAATACCGCTGCTCCGTTGGCATCTCGTGGCCATACCGCAGCCTGTATCTACTGTAAACAATTGCATTTTCAGATTAAATCATCAGATTAAATAGAGGATACTACAAATGTGAATATTGTTGTTGTCTTCCTGTACCGTTGCAGATATTCGGATGTGATTGTGCACCGGCTGCTGGCCGTGTGCGTGGGCGCCGACCCCACGTACCCGGCGCTCACTGACAAGCAGAAGCAGCAGCAGCTCTGCAACAACCTCAACTACCGCCACAAGATGGCGCAGTACGCCCAACGCTCGTCTGTGGCTTTCCACACGCAGGTGGGAGGCGGAAGTGTGGTCCACGTGGAGCTTGCACGGCATGTGCTTAGGCACCTGACGATGCGTCTATTCGGCTCTTGAAAACCATTTTTAAGGTCACGAAAGCAGGCATCATATTATGCGTGTAGTAAGAATCAATTGTTTTCTATTCGCATGCTTACTTGTGGTGACGTGGCTGTACTGGTTCGCTACACTTTACATTGCTTTTCAGCATTCTTCTGGGTTTGCTGAAAAACCTAGTCACTTGGCACATTTGCCCATGATGTGACAACTTTATTTGATTTTCTCCGTCAGGTGATGGAGGATTATAGTCAATTCAATTGACATTGTACCTTCACGATTGAACCCAAAATAATCCCCATGACATGATGCCAATAGCACAACTGGAATAAATTAGCGGGGGGATGCAGAAAAATACCTTTAATTTAGTTTAGTAATAATGGGCTTCGTAAGTGATGCACGTGTGCGCGTGTGTCTGCTCTCGGCCACGTAGCGGTGATTAACGGCTGTTGTTTTTGTGGTCTCAGTTGTTCTTCAAGAGCAAGGGAGTGGTGAGCGAAGAGGGCTTCGTGCTGTTTGTGCGCAAGAACGCCGTGGTGGTGCTCATTCCCAAGTACGGCTTGGAGGGGACGGTTTTCTTTGAATCCAAAGATCTGAAGCTCAACGTTACCTTCGACGAGGAGGTGGGGCACGTGTTCACTTAACCGGGAGGCATTGGCATTCCCCGAACGGCTGAATTCTGCATTTAAACCCAGGACTGCATGTGGTACTGGCTTAATGCACTGGGACACAAGCCCCCTGACCATCTCTCTACGATTCGGTTTCTATCAGACACACAGACACTTGGTTTAAGGTGGAAGAACGCAGTGAGATACGAAGCTCCGTTTTTTTTGCCGTTTGGCAGTGTGGACTATTACAGAGGAAGTTACACCAGTGGATACATTAAATGATGTAAATGCATTTCAAATATAAAATGGTCACAATTAAATATGCTTTGGAAATAACTGCCAAGACGTAGCCCGTAATTGTCGCGGCGAGGGCATCACATTAAAAAAATACAGTAAAATCCCTCAGATCCCGAAGAATTATAGAGAAAATCTAACGCTGTAAACAATGAGAAACTGAAATGGCAGAAAAGTACTTGCAGAATAAAAGCAAATGAGGGAAATAGTAGTTGATGCAAAAAGTGACCTCCTAGATGGCAAAAAGCACATTTGTGACCATTGGATCCGGTCATTCTCAGCATGCCTTGCAATGCCGCATGACGTTGTAACTCTACGTGGATATATGCACACAGCCTAATTTGGACCAGAAGCTCAAACGGGTCAACATTTGCAGCCATATTTTAGGTATGTTCTTAGCTGCAATTGTACACTCCATATAACCTAAGTGTGGTTGCATCTACTCCTTAATGACTGCCAAATAAGGCTTTAAAATTCCTTGGCTGGCCCGCAAATCACGATCCCTCGGTTGGTTTGGTCATTGCAGCCATCGGTTTCTCACGCCTGGTTTTAAGGTCGCGGTGAGGTGGCCCAGCGGTATTGCATTTGCCGTGTGTTGTGGAGGTTTGCGTTTCAAACTCGGTGGCCGCTCCGGTTAATACTGTGGTGTGTATTAAGCGTAAAATATGTACAGGCCGTCCGCTTTGACGGTGGACGTTTAAAGATCCTGTAACGTTATTCGTGTGCCAGCGTCATGGTCCAAGGTTGGCACGTAGCAGTGACCTTGAATGCAAACGTTTTGAGAATCAGTGAGGCTTTTCTGAGTGACCCATGTAATTGTATGCATAATAACGTTGGGTTTACGTCAATCCGTGCTTGTGTGCGTGTGCAGGGCACTTAGCAGAGAGCAGTCAGCGGTAGTGTAGCGGTTAGCGCCCTGCGCTATGATCCCGCCGACTTGGATTCGATTCCTTCGCACGGTCAACACCAGTGATGATTATCTGAACTGGTCCTGGGCCTCCCCTAGGTCGACTCGGAACTCAATTGAGTACCTGGTGCGGTGTGTAAACATCGGCACTGGGGAGACAAAGGCGGCCGGGCATGGCGCTGGCGACCCACCCCCTTGTGTGCCGTGCTGGCCTTCATCGGTACTCCTCGCCAACAGCACTTGCCCCAACAGTCTGTTAAGGCTACGCGGGAGATATTTGTCTTTGTGTTTTGTGTAGGGTCCCACGCTGTGCGTGCAGGGCATCGTGCTGAACATGTTCGACCGCGTGTGCGTGCGCGTGTCGCTGGATTCGTCCAACCTGCAGCACCAGCGGATCCGCATGCACCTCGTCCGCCCGGAGGTACTCACCGCGTGGCGCGACACGCAACCTTGGAATACCACACCATGCTGCTGCTGCTGCTGCGGCAGCAATAGTGCACAAAAAACAAACGCTCGCCGCATCGGAACGTCAGCGGGCCGATACGCACGCTTCCTTCCTAAATGGAAAATTAATGACACAAGCCACAGCATTTCGATTGTTGCCATGCAACCCAAACTGTGGAACCGTATAGTAAGCCCATAGAGAGACATGAGAGATACATAGGCGATACAGAGAGACCCATTATGATGCCTAGAGATTCAGAGACTCGTACAGATACATAGCGGTGCATTAAAGACAAGCTACTGTACGATTGTGGCCATGCAACCCAAACTATGGACCACATTGTCTACCACTGTAGTCTGCGTTCCTTCAATGGAGGGGTGGCATGATGACACAAAATCACTCCTGAGGCTCTCCTGTGGCTATCAGACCCATAAATTGGCATGTAGCTCCTGAACGTAATACCCTTATAACACAGAAATTAAAAAGAAACTCCGGTCTTGGATGGAAAAATTATATGTATAGCTTGCATTTTGGGCTGCAGTCTGTTGTCCTATAACTCCTATAACTGGCATATTGGATATAACGCGATGATGATGAATGTATGAGGGAACACATTTTTTGTATAACGCGGATGCGAATTAGATATAACTCGGTTGAATGAATGGAACTAAATCGCGCGAGCAGGAATAAGCGGTTGTAACGGCTGCCTCGGCGTAGCATCACACAAGGCTGGATGCTGCTGGATGCTTTTAGATGCTACCCACGTTCCTTAGTCTTTGTTCATTATGATTAGCTTTTATTGCATTTTGCATGCTGTGTAAAGTGTCAGTATAGCTGTCATTATTGTTATTATCGGCTTTTACTGTATTTCGATTTTTTTGTATCTATACTTGAGTATAGTTATTTACGTCCAGTGCTTTTTGAGATATTTCGATATGCAAGGTGCTGTATAAAATACAGATTTTTATTATGGCCCTAGTTCATTGCACAAGAAAGACTTATTTAAATGATCGTTTGGGGCGGTGTTATTGATGAATGCGAGTTCTCAAAATACCAAGCTAAGTCAGGGTGTGGTGCCTTGGTATATATCAGATTTCTTAACAAAATTCCATGAGTCTGTTGTGCGTGGGTTTTCTCTGGATTCTCTGGTTTCCTCCCATATCTAAAAATAAGCATGTGTTGAAACTGGTATTGAGGTAGTTTATGTATCGCCATGGGCGGCAGAGTGGCACATTGGTAACCCCTTACGCCTTGCAGCAAGAAAACTGGGTCTGATTCCTAACTAGGATGTGTTTCCGCGTGGAGTTATCTTCTCTTCCCCTGTTCATCAAGAGTGCGAGTGTGATGGAGTGTGTGAGTGAGTTAGTGTGAGTGTGTGAAGATTGTATGTTTTCCCCCTGTTCTGGGTCTCCTCCGCTTCCTCTAGTTTCTTACAATAAAAAAAACCCAATGCAATGTATCTGGTATTGGGCAAAACATCCCAATACTGAAAAATCACCTGCAAATTACTCAATTGGGACTACACAGCGACGGCAAAAATTTCGCAAGACCCTTCTGAAGAAGAGTCTTGAGACTTGGCGACGTTTTTCAGTGTTAATAAGTGTAATAATAACGTATCACTTGTGTTGTAAATACTCGCATGTGTGTGTGAGAGTGGTGGTGTAGCGGTTAGCACGCTGCGCTATGAACCCGGTAACCCAATTCTCGCTCACCGCCAACACCAGTGAGGATTATCTGAACTGCTGTTTTGTCTACCCTAGGTCAACTTTTTCTTAAATGAGTACATGGTGCAGTGTGTAAACATCAGCACTGGGGAGAGGTGCTGGCCAACTTACCCCCACGTGGGCCATGCCGGCTAACAGCAGCACAGTCTGTTAAAGGCTTATTTGGGTGACCATGTTTGTTGTCCGTTTGTGCCGTCTGTGTGTCCGTTGTCACAGATTCCAGGCTACAACCCTCCGGAGTCCACCCCATGGGGCTCGCCTTCTCCCCGGCCTAAAAAACCCAGGCAGCACTAGTGCATCGTGGATGCGTGTGCACTGCGGTGTCAACAAGATGTAGGAGGAGGTGCATGAGTGGGCATACACTCTGGGTTTTACATCTGCAGAGTTAATTAAGTGTACATTGTGCTCGCAAGCAGAGGTGAACAATTGATAAAAAATCAGTGGCGGTTATGAGAAACGCTACCCTGAAGTAATGGACGATTTGCACTCTGAACTTGCAATCCAGAGGTCGCCGGTTCGTTCTCCTGTCGCAGCGGTTGAAATAATAGCGCAATTTTTTAAAATTTACAATTTTTACCTTGCCAACCAGTACAAACAGCCAATTCAGGTGTGTAAGCATCAAGATGTATGAATAGTTTAGGACTGCTTATGCCCCACTTTTTTGCCAGCCAAGACACTGTGACCCCCTTGTGATGAAGGTGATTTCACAAAAATATTGGTTACTGAATCAGTGGTGTTTATTGACTAATGCAGCAGTGTCCGACCCACAAAGCATTGTGATCCATTCTGGTATATCTCAACATGTTCCGTGATCCACCGGCAAGATATGACCAACAGTTACTGACTAATAGAACACTATATACATGCCAAGTGCTAGTGCGATCTATTGGTTTACAATATATTGTTAATCTATTAATTCTATGAGATCTCTTTTACCAGTGGCAAAATATAATAGTAGGTTTTTACCCTTTTAACTGGTACAAAAAAGGTGTCAGTTTTGTACCAGTTAAAAGGGTAAAAACCTACTATTAATCTATTAATTCTTAGACGGGGATTTTGTTTTGCCATCTGCTATAACAAGAATTGCTTCATATTAGAGGTGTTTATGCTTATTTCCTGAGATCAACAAACAATCTTTTGCGATCATCCACCCATGGATCGTGATTCACATATCGACTTCCACTGATCTAACAGTTGAAAACCAGTTTAACACGTAGGCTTTCACGACCAATATCATCCATAACACAGGTTTTTTGGGTTAGATCGCGTAAATATATATGTCTGTAAACCCGCCACCACCCGACACAGCCAATTCCTAAGATTTGTCACATTAACAGAACATGCCAATTCGTTACTAGTGAAAAGGAGTCGGAGAATGGTTAAAGCACTTCTTTATGTCTCCAACGCACAGCAACACTCGTTCCAAAACCAACCCCGAACCCACGTCTCACAGCCCCTTTTAACCCCTCCATCTCCGCCCTGGTTCCCAATACACATCCGCGTCGGGCACGCCTGGTCCGGGTGACGTCACTGCCCTTTAACCCCTGACCCCTGTCCAGCGCATTCCCGTGCGTGTTATAGTGAGAGCGGAGATGTCGTGTCTGCGTGGTGCGTGTCCGTGAGGGTGGCTCGCAGATCCCTTACACTAGTAACAGAGCAAAGCCACAATATTTACAATCCGAGTACGATGTTTCGCCAGTAATTACAACTAGATTCATCAGGCGACAGCCAGATTCGTGGAGAATCTTTGTTCATTAATGCGCATGCATAATGTATGTTGATTAACATATAAATAACCCAATCGGCAATGGATACCCATAATCTTAAGCTTTCATTAATCCCCCCCCCCCCCCCAATTCACGAAAGAAGTGCTCACAAGTGATGCCATCACATCTACCTCTCTTTAAGGAACGAAAAAAATCTGGCTGTCGCCTGATGAAGCTAGTTATTGGCGAAACGTACTTAGATTGTAAATGTTGTGGCTTTGCTCTCCAACAAACTGGTGTACTGTACTAGTAACGAATTGACATGTTACATGACAAACCTTAATAATTGGCTGTCGGGTGGTGGTGGGTTTAACAACACATTTAAACGATCTAACCCATAAACCTGTATTATAGTTGAAAACCTACAATTGTGCCAGGTTTGGCCTGTCGGAGTGGGCCATTAGGGCGGCCACTCGGAGGGCAAAGCTCTGGGGAATCCGAGCAAGAGCTACGAAGTATGATTGTGCATGGTGATACCCGCACAGGTCACGTGATGGATGGCAAATGGAATTTTTTTTTTATCGCGAGAGGATTCCCTGCAAGGGATGTTAGGTTACTTATTCTTATGTGGAGCCATTTACTGTATGAAGGGGCAGCGGTCAGCCACATAGAACAGAGTATAAAATTCCCCGAGCTGTCGCTGTTTAAATCGTCGGTTTAACAGAGAATTTCACTTCAGGTTTTTTACACAGCTGCCCCCCCCCCCCAATTGGACTCTGTGCAACCACACAAGGAATGTTTTTGGAAAAAAAAATGTCGGTGTCAGAAAATGTAAAAGTTTAATCGTTTACAAATGCACATTTCGTTAGAGCTGTTATTGTCTTTTAGACATGCAAAATTAATTTATGACAAAATATTGACACGTTTTCAAATTGTTTCATAAATGGTCGTAACCTTGCTCACGTATATACTTGGGCAATAATTCTGAGCTCCTGGAGTAGTTTCAGTTTTTTCAGTTTTTTTCAGTTTTATTGTGTATAGCTCTGTGAGCCATTCGGCTCTTGAATCGGGTGCAACCGCAACAAACAAAAACATGAACAAAAAAACATCTTGAAGCGACTATGTGCAAACAGAAAATCCAAGAAAAGACAGCAAAATATTGCAGAAAAATTACCGTACACCAACGCTGTGTGCAAAAATCCCAGTGGGATGCAAGTCAAACAACAACAACCACAAGACAACTTGATAAAGATTTAAGCGAGTTGATGTCTTGGCGACTTTGTGTAAATGTGTTTAACATTTTTTAGCTGAATCGTATATTTACAAGCATGTACACGTCATGAGTTATACGCGTTTATATACAAAATGAAACCGATTTATTTTCCAAGCATCCTTTGTTGTTTTGGTTACTATAAGTTACGTTTTCGACTGCTGGATGAACATCTCGCCACGTGTTGGACGTCAGGTTTAGTTTGACTATACTTCACCATGCTGGTCATTGTTGGATGATACTAATAATATCCACTTGTAAGGCACAGCACCAAGCCCAGGCGGTGAGCCAGCTCCAAAATCCCGAAGGCACTGAAGTTCTCGATTTATTACATAAAAAACACATTAGGTGAAACAACGTAAATCGAAATCAATTTTGCCATTAAATTAAGGGGCCGTCCATAAATGACGTCACACTATTTTTGACCCCTCGTCACACGGCGTCACAAAAAGTCAGACCTCTCCCCAAATACGACGTTATAAGAATTCAATATTTATTTAAAGTTGCGCATTTTGATGTGACGTCACATTTCTCCCCCCCCCCCTTCCCTCGTCACATCGTCACAAATGTCTGACCCCCCCCCCCCCCCAGGTGCGTGACATCATTTATGGACGGCCCCAAAACTACACCACCACTACCTACAATAACCCAATTTTTCATTTCAAAGTATCAAGGCTATGTCCACATTTGTAATTGCTGTAAATAAGATAAGATAGTACTCTTTAAAACGCGCATAGATCTTTCTGGTCTTGGTTACTGGTGGGTCCTTCCTGCAACGGATATATGCGATGAAGTAACGATGCCGACAGGATTTAATCATCCCTGTCAGCAATCTCGCGGTAGTAGAGGAAAGATGGTGGAAGAGCAGCCAGGCTCTCCTGAATAACTGTCTAGCTTGGTCAATCAATAGCCTTTCTGGTTTCATTTTCACGCCGTCTATTTAGTAAAACAATCCTGAGGATTGCGAGGATTTAAACTTCTCATGAAGGTTAGCTAAGCTCCCCTCCAGCCCATGTTATTATGTGGGGGGGAAGATCAGCGACGGAGTTAATCCGGATAAATTCCTCTATCTCTTTCCTCATCTCAATCGTATATTCCACATCCAGAAGCTGCCTATCTAGGGACCAGAATCATCTTCTTGGTTTTTTTCGGTAAAGTCACGTAGAAGGGAAGTAATAAAATAATAAAAATAAATTTTTTATTACGTAGAAGGGAAGTAATAAAATAATAAAAATAACATTTTTATTATTTTATTACTTCCCTTCTACGTGACTTTACCGAAAAAACCAAGAAGATGAATCCCTGCAGTCACGAAAGCTTTAAATCGAAATTTAGGGACCAGAAGTTACTCGCTCCCTCATTGGGGTTTAAGATGTGCCGAATTATTATTGGGGCACGGTCGAAAAGCTGCATGTCCAGGATCTTTACCTTCATGAGCTTAGAAATGAAGTCGATTATGGATAGCGTCCTGTGCACCTGAGAGATATGGGTAATGTACTTTTTCGTCGGGTTTAGGTGTTGGGACAATTTCAGCCAGGAGAAGTCTGCGTGCCGTTTTGATCCGAGGTAGTTGCATGTGATTTTTCAAAAGCAGGGTCCAGGACCAAATTCCAGTCCCCTCCCATAATAACCTCCCCTACTCTTCTCGATCAGGGAAATCGCAATTGCGGTGTTGATGGGGGTGGGTTATACACAATCAGTCGTGTGATAGCTCTGCCCTGTAATTTTTTCGCAAGAAAAACATTTAATGCTCTTATTTTACAAAGATGGCTACACCTCTGCTGCCCGAAGTATTTGTGGCATGGAATACCTCACTGGCCCTGGGCATCCCCCCCCCACCTCCGGGTTGTGGCCGGGACGCCTCACCAGCCTCTGCTGTGCGCCAGCGAACCTGGACAAGCCCTGTGTGCAACTATTCACCGCCCCCCCCCCCCCCCCCCCCCATAATGCTCATGACCGCAGTGCCGTGTTCATTCTGTGAAGGGATGAGGAAGAGGGAAAAGCATCCAGCGTCGCCACACGCAGGCAACGTGTTTATCACACCGGTCAAAATATAAAAATCCATGTATATGTAGTGGGTTCCACATAGACTGGAGACGTCTTTAGAGACAACACGGTGTATTTGTAACTACGAACATAACTCCCCTTAGCTCCCACTATCTATGGAGGTACAGCCTCTGGGGTAGCGTGCCCTCGCATTTGTCAAACCTGGCTCTCAGCCCTCCGGCTATCTGTGCCCTAGGGGAGGCTAACTGACCCGACCCAGCCAAGGTATGGGTCCTGACCACTGGTCCGAGCTCGGCCCGGCCCTGACAAGGACGTCGGGCTCGAGGTCCCAGGGTCCTAGCTAGGGAGGCTACTCTGACCCGACCCAGCCAAGGTACGGGTCCTGACCACTGGTCCGTGCTCGGCCCCGGCCCTTATAAGGACGTCGGTCCGAGCTAGGCTGGTCTTCTGTTTTTCGTCTTCGGAGCACTGCCCTGAGTTGTCCCAGAGGTGCCCCTTTTATACACCTCTCGGGCGCTCTTTACCCCAGGTACCGCCCCCTCTCTGGAACCTTCCAGGGGGCTCTGGAAGAACCCCCCAACCCCTTACCTGGGGTCTGGGGGGGAGAACCCGGCCGCTCAATAGTCCGGCTTTCTCTGTCCTTCCCCAGCTCAGGGTGGCACCCCCTGTGCCCGCAACTACAGGTAAGTATATATACCGACGGTATACGATGTGCATTGACGACGCTACATCTATGCCAGAGAGGTTGGTTTTGAAAAACGTGGGAAGCAAGCATTGCCATACGAATGAGTTGAGCTCGCGTTCGATGCGGGCAGTCGTGAGGACGACCGTCGACAGGCACGCGTGGAGCCACGCCATGGTCACAGCACAGCACCGACTTTCGTGTAGGTGATGATGGCCCAGTTGTAGAAAGGAATGCCAGAGGTTCGAGCAGAGGTAGCCGAATGTAGGATAGAGCATCTTGAGGAGTGTTGCCCTCGACCCCCTCCGGGAGGCCGTATGGTTTACTTGGCATGCCCGTCCCTTAGAGTCCAGTCTGATGTAAGCCTCCTCTGGTTCCAGCAGCCTGGCTTCGTGGATCTTCATTGCACCGCTCTGCTCGTCTAGCATAGTCTGAAGGGTCATATGTGGCTGCCTCCTGATTTTCCACTCTCCTGCAAACCTTACTCGACACAGATACAGGCAGAAAGTCCCCTTGGCCTAGCCATGAGGTCAGGCTCGAGTTGCTTACTGAGGACCCTACAACTAAGCAGGCTGCGGATCGCCCTAAGAAGCTCCAAAGTAGAAAACCAGCCTTCCACAGCCCCCTATAAAGTTCCCGAGGCCAGGTAGAAAAATAAGAAAACTATCAAACAGGTAAGCGAGTGGTTATGTTGGGTCGAAAAAGGTAATTTTCTAATGTAGGGGTTGGAGCAGTCATTGCTGCTGACTCGGCCATGAGGTCACTGGAACTCGTTTGATTAACACTTTTAAAATAAAAAATCACGACGCGTACTGAACATATTTTTCCGAATGGGTTTTACCACCACCATGATGACACAGTGGCAAGGTTGGCAAATCGCAGTGCAGCTGCTGGCTGAATCATATGAATAAATATAATCAAATCTTGAAATATCCTGTATGTACCCAGGAGAGCCATATTGAGTCTCGAGACTCTTATTAGCTCCGTGCTGCATTAAGATGTTTGGACAATTTCAAGCATCAGGGTTCGGCACGTAGGAGGAAACCGGAGAAACGCACAAATATTGGGAAGCAGGCTTGGCGGTAGAAGTCAGTGCAGAAAATTTGGCCCCACACCTATCACTGTAACGAATCAATGTTCTACGGGGGCATTCTAAGCGAGGACTGATTGTATTAAAATATACTTTGATCTACGAATCGTAATGTATCAATAACGTTAACGTGGAGCATAACCCATGGAGAGAACTGATTATCTGTGTGCTGATGATGGTAGTGATGATCTCGTAATGGCTGTTCACTTCGAGGAGTGGGAGAGTCTGATGGTGAACTTGGATCGTGCCAATGAGAGGTAGGGCCTTACCATTCGCCCTACCAAATCAAAGCAGTACCTGCCTTGATATTTTGTATATCTTCAAGTACTCCACCCCCCTCAACTCCGCATGCTAGGTAGTTGTGGAAAGAGTGGAGGTGTTCCCATACCTGGGCAGTTTGACCAGCTCCGATTTCAGAGCAGAGGTCTTACTCTGAATTAGTTCAGTTGGATAACCTTTTTTTCAGCTGCATAGCGCTGTATAAAAGTTACATGGCCTATCACTTCATACGAAGCTCTGGTTCTTTTCTTCCAAACTTGTCCTCTCCCTCCCAGCTATGCCCTCTCGAAAGCAACATGTGACCTTTGTTTTGGCGTGACAAACACCATTGAAAGCAAAACACCGAAAGTGTAATGACTACACGTAATGCAATAATCTCAATAAATTTCTCAACGGGTATTGACTATGAAGTCCCAGGAATGGTGGAGGTGGATCAGCCTGCAGACCCACAGGTGGCAGCGGTGGATTGGCCTGCAGACGCAGGGGTGGTGGTGGTGGATCGGCCTGCAGACGAAGGGGTGTCGGCGGTGGGTCGGCCTACTATAATGAGCCAAGCATGTCTATGTGTCCCGCGTGTGACGTCACTCCACGTCGAGCTGCCCCCCTTATTAATAATCATGAACAGGCTAATCTCTCACAATACAAAGGCCACTACCCCAGCCTCTGTGGTTGGATCATCTCTAGCTCCACCCACCTACCTTGAGGCACTCATCTCAGGCCTATATAAGACCTTGTCTCAGCAGCTTTTTCTCTCACCTGAAGACGATTGCTTGTGTTGCGATTGAAACGCCGTGATTTTTTTTCTATCTACGTGGCTTTACCGAAAGACCCATATTATATAATCATGAACAGGTTACGTCCTCTACATGAACCCCCCTCATTAATAATCATGAGCAGGTGACGTCCTCCAAATGGACACCCCCCTCCATTGATGATTAGCGGGTGACGTCACTTCACATGGGGGGACGAAGTGCCTCCTCCCCCCTCCTCAGCGTCAACTTATCACTACAAAGGCAGAACCCTCACGTCACGCGATCTCCATAACGCTTTTGAGACATCG